AAAAACTTCCTACGCAATTATACAATCATTTAATTTTAAGCTAAAATTATTTAATATAAATATAAACAAACATATAAAAAATTAGATTTTAAGTACTAGCATTAAAAATAAAAAAACCTATGTTCGTTTTCGTTTTAATTTAAGCAAAGAAAAGATTTTCTTAAATAAGTTTTTGTATGAACATCAGAGTATTTTTAAAATTATTAAGACGCATTTATTTTTCTATCAAAATATTTGCATCATACTATTTAATTCCAACAATTTAGATTTAAAAATTCATAGTTTTATACTCTTAATGTTGGTACATGAAAAAGTAACGATGAAGTACATTTTAAATAATCCTATGTATTTTAAATAAATATAAATTTATATTTTATATCTATCAAAATATATATTATGGTTATTTTTTAAAATATATTTAGCAAATTTTGAATTAAGGGCAGTCTTTTTAAATTTAATTTTAGAAATGTGATCTTTAAATCTTATTTTAAAATGTATATTTGTCTTAATTATATAAAATGTATTATAATTATATTAAAGTTTTTATTAACCAACATTTTCAAAAAAAAGGAGATTTTTTGTAAAGTTTTTTAGTTCTATTATGTCTAATTAAATTATTATAAGTTTTAAAACCAGAATTTTCAAAATAAAAACTAGATTTTGTAAAAATGTATTCAATTATATATATCTCAAAATTCTACATATTAGAAAAATTAATTATCAACATTTATATAGAATTAATACTATAATTTAATTTTGTAAGCATTTCTCTTATTCTATTTAATTTTAAAATCACAGAAAAAAGAGATATTTAAATTAATAATATGAATAAGATATTATTTAAAACTTGTTATTTTCGTAGAATGTATGAGATTAATATTTTATGTCTATTGTTATTTTTATTTTTTTATTAAACCTGAAGGAATATTTAGAGTAAATAACTAATTTTTTACATTAATCAAATTTAGTAACATGAATATAATAAACAGACATAATTATACAATAGACTTTACTATAGTACCTACAATGACAATAGAATGTATGATAATATAAAACTATTTAAAAATAATATTTAACCTAACGCGAGAAGAAGAATCTTCCAGCAAAAAAACTCGCAGTCCACGAAGAGTTAAAAATTGGATGTTTTAATCCTCAAGATAAAATGTATTGTGTAATGTATTATGTTTTTAATTAATTTAAAAATATAAGTAATAATAATAGTCAATATGAGATTTAGTGGATTATGTTCATGGTTGGTTTTATTTTTTTTATTGATTTTTATAAAATTAAAGCACATACCCAATTATTGTTTATTGTGGAATACAAATTAATTAATAGTAGTAAAATTGAGTCCTATATTGATTGTGTAAGTTATATTTTTATAATTAATTTGTGCCAATTCAATGCATCAATTGGAATTTGTATATGATAATGATGAGAATTTTTAACAAATACTCAGTATAATTTTTCCTCTTCAGTCTGGTATGTTAATCCATTATTTACTAAATTAATATTCTAAACCCTCATATTTAATTGCTATTAAATATTAAGAGAAATATACTGTTAAATTATTATTACACATACTTAATTTTTTATATTTTTTACATTATCTTGTTATTGTTTTTATTTTTTAAATTATTAATTAATTATATTGATAATCATATAAACATGATAGAAATTTGAAGAGAACCAATAAAGTAGTTATTTAGGTAATAAATGCTTAGTTGTTTGAGTATAGCAAGCAAATGGGCGATATTTGCGTACATTTAAACTTTTTTACGACTCGTTTGCGTACAAATGTCCCACTCAATTCCGCACATAAATTTATAATACCTTTGATAAATTACCCAAACATAGGATTCGTTTGCGTACATAAACTTTAGCAAAAGTTTTTACATTGTACATTTTTTATTGAGCCATCCAATCAACAGATTAATTGATTTTAAAACACAAAACTCACTAAACTCATAGTTTCCAATATTAAAACGTTTCCTTCTACGCGTTTCAAAAACATTTAATATGTGAATATCCATAGTTCTACAAGAAATAAAATAACTAAAGTACTGGAAACTCGTATAGTATCACACGTTCAACTAATCAATAGGCATATAGTAAAATTATAACTCAAAATGTAGCCGAAACTTCGACACACCAGTTAATCAAAAATGTTGGTTAAGTTTAAAAACTTATCAAAATATTTTAGACAAATCGTATCATAAAGCACTGCGAGTTACAATAAAAGTCTATATTGGTAATGAAATTTAATAGTTATACGCAAACGATTCGTCATTTTTCAGGTCAAAATTTGTATTAGCTGGTTTTCATGTTTTTCATTGTACTCAAATGAGTTGTCAATTTCCAGGTCAAAAATTGTGTACTGTGAACAAACGAGTCACACCTGTGTGAATAGTATTTCAAAATCATAACATAAAGATGTAAGGTTTCTTTTCTCCTGTTTTTTTTTTTTTTTAAAAAAAAAAAAAAAGCTCAATTAACGTTTTAACTATTAATCAATACAAAATATGTAAAAAAAATGAATTGCTAATTTAAAAAAAAAAAATTACTTTGTACCTAAACCAAATTAAGCAAACGGAATATATGTATGAAAATATAAAATCTATTACATACTTATTAGTACTTATAATTCGGGAATCATTTTTGTAAGTATAACTCTGTGTAGATTCTTGTATTATTTAGAAATAAAATAATATTTTTATGTAAGTAAAATAGCTTCGTATTCTGCTCATTGAAGCTTGTAAATTTAAAGTTCTATATAGGTTAGGTTAGGTTAGGTTAGGTTAGATAAATAAATGGGGACAAATAAACATAGAGAGTTAAGTAAATAAATCAAACAAGCGTATGAATTATATTATGTTTAATACAAATCATTACAAGAATTAATATACAGAGGTGTTCAGTTAACAAAGAAATAAACGATGTCAAAAAAATACTTATTTCTAAATAGTATACTTGAAAAAAATCAAATTATTTTTGAGATCTAAGTATTATTTTAGTATTAAGTATATGTTAAAATGCACAATTATTGCTGAAACTGTAATTTAACTAAATCAAAGTACCAATATTCTCATGTATATAAATTATGACATAGTTTTTTATAAATTTAAATTTTGAAACTTATTAAGATTCGTTCATTTTCATCAACCGTAGTTAATGTATTAGTATACAAAAATAAAAATGACTATAAAATTTTAAATCAAAATCCAAATTTTACAATATATAAACATACAAACTATATACTTTATGGATATTAGAGTAAAGCAAATTAAATATGTTTATAAGAAAAGTTTTGAAGTAATACACACGAAGTAAAAGAACCGAGCAATGTAATATACTCATTATATGGTTGAAATCGCATTTTATACATTAACGAATTTGATGTGGAGGGGGGGCGATGGGGGCAATCTCCCCTCCCCGAGAATTTTTAGACCAAGACCATTTTTATATAATAAATGGGTATTTTATTAAAAAACAAAAATTATGATTTATTTTATAATATTATTACATTTGAAAATGTTTCAAATTTTAAACTAATTTAAATAACACAATACGCTAAATTTTTTATAACGTTTTAATTGTCAATATCGGTAAACGGAAAATTTTCCAAACATTTAAATGTGTATAACGTTTAAACGGTTAAATTGAATAACGTTTAAATTATTTATAAGTCCCATAACGATAAATAATATATATTATTTTGATTGAAGACCCAGTCCATACTTAGTGAAAAATTAGATAAAACACAAGCGAAACTTTCAAAACACAGATAGGTGTTAAATAAGAACTACACAAAAGACTATTCTAAGTGGATCCGGTATTAGATTAAAAAAAAAAAACCACAAATATTAAGGATTCACATGATATAAATATTACCAAAAATTTTACTTATAAATTTTGAGCCTGAATTAAAGAAAAAATTTGAATCCCCCCCCCCCCTAGAAGTAAGTCTAAATACGCCCCTGATTTTATATATTCATGAGTACAGAAGTAATAATTATTTCTAGAACAGATGTACCATATGCCCAAAATGTTTATCAATGATAAAATAATCGAAAAATCGAAATTTGAATTACATATACTCAAAAATATGAGATCTGAGAAAGAGTATGTTAATATTAAAATTACTCGAGTGAAATGATTAGGATAAATGTCGAAATTGGCTGATAAAATATATCATTTATATCGATTAATTCTTACGATGACAAAATAAATATATTTCTTAATTATTTTCAAGTACATATAAAATTAAATATGTTTATATATAATATTATTAAAATATTTCATTATGAAATTATCCATGGACGAATTAATAACGTATGTATTATACTTAAAATTATTTAGAAAATTTAAAATAATTAATTAAATTTCGTAGTGTTATATTTTCTAATTAGTGAACTGAAAAAAGTAATTTGAGATCATATTATAAACCAGGGACAGATCCAGAGTCAGGGAACTGTGGGTCAAGCCATTTCAAGAGGCCATTTATTAGGAATGAAATTGAATTAGAAATTAATATCTTGTAAAAAAAAAAAAAAATATGCTCATAAAAGTGTGTAAGTATATTTATATTATTTATATTATTTTAGAATTAGTGATACCACCGATAATGACTTTACGATTAATAAATATAATCTAATTTTATCAGCGCAACAAACGTACGGAATAAAATATGATTTACTTAACTTTCTACTAAAACGATATAATTTAAAATATAAATTATGAATTGAAAAATTTTAAATTTTGATATATACATGGCATTCATTTTTCAAGTAACTCCGATGGGCCAACTGTCCAAGAGTCCAAATAAAGGTCTAAAAAGAGAAAAAAATTTCCAAGAGGCCAATTTTGTTAACAAATATTAACTATGGGTCAGCAGACCCCCTGAACCCCCCTAGATCTGCCCCTGTTATAAACTATGTTCATTTCAAAGTCTAATCCCCATTCTAATATCTAATAATAATAATACGTTTAAATTGTCTTACCACATACAGATACAGTCTCATCTTGTGCATGAAAACAGTCCGGTATACCATCGCATACTTGAAATTCTGGTATACAATGTGTGTCATCACAATGATACACTTTATGAGTGGCATTGTCGAGACACAAATCGGACACTAAACATTGATTACCTGTCACAACCAAATAAACAAATTAATTCAAAAAGCAAAAACATGATAATCGCTGTAAATATAGGTTTATTTATAATAACATTAATATTACAGTACAAATGTAATCTGATGGTACTAAAATATTTATTAACTACCCACAACTTGGTGAAATTAATTAAAAAAATAATAATTGGTGTTAATTAATATGGATCTGAAAACATTTGATTAAATTCCATTTCATAACCTTCAATAGTTAAATTAATGACAATTTTGCTTAAGACGATTTTTATCAATAATTTATAGATTTATAGAATTAATAATAAAAAAATAAAAAATTATAAATATTTTAGATTGTATATAATTTAAGTTAGATTATAAATGCCATATTTTGTCAAAATGATTAAGCTAACTTACAAAAATAACATTTATTTATGAATGTATAAATACTCTGAATTATTCATAGTAAAAATAATAAATAAAATAATTATTATTGCGTGCTATACTTTAAAGGTCTAAAAATATTTTAATCAAATATATGTATGTATTTATTTATAACAAAAAATCATAATTATCAATCAAAACTATGTTTTCATAAATACTAAAATACTAACTTCTGGAAGTACTATATATTTATTAGTTTATTTTCAAAAGTTATTTATCTAAAACATAAACTTTACTTTCAGGCACGTAACCTGACATATTTCTATAAGGGGGCCAACATTTTTTGGCCCCTTTTTGTAGTTGTATTTATCAAATGTGCGTTCGATATCCGTATTTAAAATTCCTAGTTTTCAATCTATTAATTCACGTACTATTGTCTTATCTCAAATTATTAAGTGACGAATTTTTATAAAATAGAATCTCAGAATTTAATTTTTGTTATACGATCGTTAATTATATAGAATGAGCGCATGTAAACTCCGCCACAAGTACCATTTTTTATTGCTAACTCCTACTACTGTTAACTAGAAAAATAAAACAGGTAAATTGGGTTCATGTAAACTTCGCCACTAAAAGAAATCATGTAAAATGTAATACATGTAAACACTGCCAGTGAAGAAAATCGAGTAGTAGTATAAAATTAATATGATATATTATTAAAAGTAATACGTAATAAGTAATAATAAGTAAATATTATTATTATATTATATAATATCGTACCTCCATTTTATTTCACCATCTGGTATATTTTATATTTTGATTATATTTGTAGTTAGTTGTTAAATAAAACCAATAAATTACCTCGTTGACCAGTAATTAATTTTATATTATTACTTTGTTACGACATATTTCGTTCAATATAAAATATACACGAAGACACACAGCTACGAATGATTATGTTCGTCAAAATATACTTTATGTATACCTTACCTACTACCGACATCATCAATGGAAATACTAATTTAAAATAAAATGAAAATAAAATTATTAATAAACAAATCAATGTGGATATATATCTACCTTGAAATGAATGGAACCGAGTAAATTTGTACAAACAACTTAAAGATTAAGCATAAGACAAAGAATCATGGTAAGAACATTTATTGTAAATCTATCTACGGGTTGAATACTAAAAACAAAAAAAAATTCTTAAAAAAAAAAAAATATATCATGATTTGTATATTTTTTAACATGAAATAAATCAAAAGTGCGTTATATAACTAATAAAACTGATAATGAATGGATAATTCTAATATAACTAATGTACAATAAAACATAATATTCTAAATGGTCATAAATTTCCAGCAGAATATAAGTTAACCTAATAATAAAATGTATTATTTAAATTCTTATATCTATTTAAACACAGATATTTGTAATTCGTATGCGTAACTGTTATGAGCAATTAAACGATCCCCTTATTTCAATCATATAGCCTAAACTAGTACAATCGTGAGGAAAACTTTAACTTATTTGTACAAATTATTTTAAAATAACTTTATAAGTAACAGAATGGGAGAAAAGGACACAGGATCACGATTATTGGAGGTCGGTGACAGTAGCAGCCAAAACCCTTTCAAAATTGAGAAGACTCATAAGCACATACAAAGAAGATTTTAAAATATAGATATGTTACAGCACAAATAAACTTCGAAATAAATATTTTAGTATGAATAAGAAAAGTAATATAAATATTTTATAATATTAACAGGAAAGCTCAAGAGTATTTTGTTTTATTTTGTCGAAATAAATTTTTTTGAGGAAATATATCCTTAATACCTATCCTAATACCTTATTATTTATTTATTGATTGAAAAGTAAAAATATATTTCTTTATAAATGGTATAATTTATGATAAATACTCTATATTCATAAGAGGAGATATTCAATTTTTTTAAAATAATAAATTATTTTAATTTAAATTAATTATAAAATATACCTGCAGCAATTAAAATACCAAAACTCACATAATTTCGCAAAATATTTTTAAAATATAAATTTCAATAAAGATGAATGATGTAATGAAGATATTATGGATTTAACCTATTTTTTAATCCAGTGTACCTATTAGTTAAAATAATACTAATAATTATTCTATAATAGCAATTATAATGTTTTCCTTTTAGGTATTTAGACTCATTTTTTCTTAAGAAAATATAAGTTTTAAAAGTTCCATCATTAGAGACTGATACTTGGATACTAATAATAAAAATTGATTACATATTCATATAAGTCCTTTTATTGTTTTCCTTCTTCAAAAATGTATAGAAATAACTATTGCTATTATTTCAAACTTAACGAAACAGTTCAAGAAACAAACTACAGACAAGCTAAAATCCTGTAATTTCATAAATTAATTTTTTTCGAGCAAAGTTATTTTATTCATATTATTTATATAATTAATTAACTTTTTTACTATTTTAATATAAAAATACGAGTATGAAATTTAGTCAGTTATAATTTAGACACCTACTAAGAAAGGATTTGTCAAAACTCAACCCCTAAAGGGGTTAAATGGGTCAAAATATGTAAAAAAATGATAAACAATTTATATTTTTATATGCACCTTGGTCAGTACATTTGCTACAATTATTTAAGTAGTAATTTTCTAGACTATTTCATAAATATATTACAGATATGTTGTTTATTATACCTATCTGTCAAAGTTAATATAATAATACATTTAATAAAACCACTTATAGTTGATATCTCTCGGATATATATTAATGCCTATACTCAACACTTTATCGACAACATATATAAAATTGTTAAAATAAAAAGTTATACGTAGATATCACAAAAAACTACACACGGGCGAAGCCGGGTTATTCAGCTAGTGCTTATAAGTGAAGTATGGACATGTGTGTAAACATGTAGACATGTGACCAGGGCCGGATTTAGGAATATAGGGTCCCTGGGCCCACCTTTAGAAGTAGAATTTATTTTTAATGATATTTAATTATTATTTATTAATATTTACATATTATAGTAAAATTACATTTTCATTTTACTATAATTAGATATATATTAAAAACTGTAACAACATAATTTTCATTAAATAGGTACGGGACATAATAATACCATTTACCTAACCGGGATAATTCAGCTAGCATGTAATATAAACGCATATAAATTATTCAAATTGTGTACATTATACTTCTATATAAATACCAAATGTAAATCAATAATGTTTAAAAACTACCGTAAAATATTTTTTACTGTTAACCATTCTTGTGAACCACATTTTTTTTTTTTTTTACAGCAAAAATAATCGCTTTGAAAGTGGAATACAATATATGTTTGTCTTAGGAGTCTACACAAAGAATAACAAACGTTTGCCTCGATCGTAACTTTTATATTTTTATATAATGCGCTGAATAAAAATAACATGAGTATGAAACGTATTCTTGTCATGGAAAGCTAATCAAATTCAAATACCATAATAAATATTTCATCTTTTTACCACAAAATCGATATTTCATTATTGAAATATAGTTGTATAAATATTACAAATTTGAGATTCTAGTCATAATGCATGAGGTAAAATTAATTTATTGGATTGTAAGGATCAGATTTTATCTGTTAGCCATTTCTTCTGATGCCAAATAATTTTGTAATATGATTAAAATTATTTTAATCATATTACAAAATTATTTTTTAATTTCAATAAAATATTAAAAAATCATAAATTATTGTATATACATAATAAATAATATAAAATTCATAGAAATCCTATGTAGAAACTATTCAAAATACTTATATTACTAAAAAATAAGATATTTAATATTTTAAAAAGTGTATTCATACTTGTATACTAAAATGATATGTTTTAATAGTTTAATAATAATAAAGTACATTTTAATACCATGTTTTATATTTTTCGTACCTTAATATTTAAACTTAATTCATTTAAAATCTGGTTTAAAGCATTTTTTTAAAAAACATTTTAAAAAGTTAACACTATACTGCAATTATAATCATTTCAGATTTAAAGAAATGGAATGAAAAGGTCAAAATGAGCGTGGACATAAAATAACTTCTCTACTGTCTACTATTAAATTTTGAACTAAAAGTATTTATTGTATTATAATTTGTTGATGCTACTATTATATAAGTCAACTTTTCCAACTTATTTCATTCAATAAACATGCGATTAATAGGACTAAATTAACCTTAATTTTATTTACGGAACTATATATGATATACTTATTTTTATATCTCAGAAAGTATTAATATCATGTACTTATAATGATTAAACAATCAATTTCACAAACTATCGTTAGTTCATAGATTATTTAGCTTCGTACTTTTAATGTAAAATCAAGTAAAAAATAATTACTTCGAAGAACTTTATTGATTAGTGATTACATACATTGAACATTAAAATTAAAGATTATATTCTAGTATGTAAGTAGTTATTGAGGCATTTTAAAATTTTAGTTGAAAAATGTATGTATTATAATATAAGGTTTATCAAATAATATCTTGAATACTAAAAGTAAAAATCGAAAACCGAAGATTAAAATGATTGAAATATTTATTGAAGTTATGAATCATAAATATTTATATTTATATGTCCAAAATATAAATACATATAAGTATATATTTATGCAAGTTTATTGTATAGTCAATCAATTGAAACAGTTTACTAAAGAACATTTTTTTTTACGAATCATTACCTTATTAAAATCAATATAGTACCTAATACGTAGTATATATCAGTTGATGCACCGTATCAGAAATGTATTATAAGGGCCTATTTACCTATTAGCTAAACATAGTATATCAATGTAAACACAATATTCAAATATAGCACGAGAAATTTTTCCAGGCGGGGTAGAGTGAGGCAAATATTTTTTTTACATGGATTAAGGTTTTTTCAACAAATACTAAGGTTATTTAAATAAAATATAAAAATTTTCGTATCATATAACATCATATAGCTATTATTATTTTCGTGACATACAACCACAATTAGATGAAAACGAAAAAATGATAATAAATTATAAGTGAATAAGTAAAATAAATATATACAATTATATTTTACAGAGTCTATCGAAAAACTTAAAACACAAATCTTAAAACATACGAAAGTATTTACATAAATTACAAATTTTTAAAAAGTATATTTCATAAATTTATTGATGCAGCCTTTTAAAAATTATGTTTTATGACTTTATTATATCATAAATATTTTTCAGTGGTGAAGCTGTCGCGGGGGCTAATCTGTTTTCTTGTAGGGCTAGAGCTCCTCCTTGCCTTCTCTTGGCGCCATGCCAGACTATATTTCTTTTAAATACTTTATTCTTAAAATTATTTAAGGTAAAAGTAGTGAGGATCCATGACATCACCTATTTTTTTTTTTTTTTTTTAGATTACTCATTCTTTTGAAAACTATAATTTACTGTATACTACATTTATAAGTTATAATAAATAGTTATTGTAGTATACTAGTATGTAATAATTTTGTGAAATAGATATTGATATACGACAAATATATGTTATCTAAAAAAATGTAATTAAACATTAAATATATAAATATAAAATATAAATATATATATATTTTTAACCCGGCATCAGTGGCATCGTTTAAAAACACGTGAGAGGTGGCATCGGTATTTTTGACCGAATAATACAAAATTATACATTTTGATCTAAGAATTATCCGTCAGCTAAAATTTTTCATGTAAACACAATATTTAATTAATATGATGTATATTTTATTTACATGTAATTTTTTGAATTTCGTTTTTTATAATTTTCAAGTAATGAAATAAGTTTTCGACATCCCAAAAATAACCAAATACTTAATAATATTAATAAATAAAAATTACAAATAATTTCATTCATCGATACGTTTATTTGAAATTAAAATTCTGCAGTTTAGAAATAACATGATCAATTGTTAAAATTAAAATAGATTTGATTTAAAAAAAAAATATTATTTTATAAAATGAGTGACTTCACACATATTCGTCCAAATTTTCAGTTTCGCCTAATGCCATGCTTCTAGAACATTCGGGACATGCTGGTACAGTATGTTCTCGGCAGATGGGTGAATTACAATGAATACAATAGCTAAAATTTTAGACGGTACTGAACGGTCAAATGTCAATCTAATCTTGGAAAGCGTAAATGTGCGGTGACTGATAATACCTATTACCTACTGTAAAACAGATAGTATAATATATCTATGGGTTTAGCCACATTGTTTATAAATAGACATGTTATAACTGTGTAAACAATATGTTGACGTCAAAATTAAATATACTAAAACTAAATAAAAATAATTATAAAATCAAGAAAACAATGTTGAACTCATATGAATGAAAATAGTGGCATCGGTCATTTCGACCGTAATTTTATCAATAAACGGTATAAGTTCATGTTAACGATATAAATTTACATTAAAACAAAAAACAACTACTCTTTATGGGTCGAAGAAAAGGTACCGAGTAGAAAAAAGACGGATATGGTTCCAATTATAAATTATTTAAGAAATAAATAAATATATTTAAATATATTTATTTAAGAAAAACCACAGAGACTATTGTATAAAACATTTTCTAAAATATTATTATGAAAGAATATATTTACATTTTCTAGTATTTGTTATTAAAATTAAAAGTTATAAAATTATAAATAAATTTGTAATATTAAAAATTATAATTATGAACCGGTTTTTAAATAATAAATTTATTGTATCATATTCCACAGTAATAAGTTTTTCTTTTTTGATATGTTACCAAATAAATCTAAATGTCACGTAATGGATCGTCTGTCTTGTTTGTTTTTTATAGCCTATTCCATAACTGACAACCGTAAATTTTAAAGCACTGTCTTACACGAATGCTAAAGCTACCTATAGACCTTCGGGTGATTTCACTACCGAAGTAATAAAAGCAACTACAATGCTAATGCACCAAAATCCAGCGAAATGAAATGGAACACAGTGTTTTGAAAAACCTCGTGCTCGATTGGACGACCTTATATTATCAACGGCAAATGCCTTGAATATTCTCAAGAGTCTCATAAACACGATTCTCAAACATTGCATACAAGTGTTAGATCTAAAAAAGTATTTTCCTCTGAATAGTCAAGAAAAATAAATTACAAGTAACATCATATAAATTGACAACAATCTTATAGTTACTATAAGGTTATTATTACATTATAGTTATTTCATCATTTTGGTAATTTATTGTTTTTCACTATCAATATTAAAAAATAAGCACTCATGAAGCACTTTAAACTAAGTTAGCAGTATTTAATTCATAAACCAATCAATTATATTCAACAATTAAATATAAATATGATTATACAATATTATATTATATTATACCATATCCATTTCTCATATTGTTATTTATTTATTAACTTATTTTTATCAATTATTTTAAATTAAAGGAAACTATTCAAGTGTTTACCGCAAAATAATAAAATAAACCTTTTACATTTGATAATAATTGTTTACATATAAAAATGTACTAACATTTTACTCGTCTGACAACGGACAAGTCCGTTTTCAACCAAAACGAAAATTCATATAATACATTTAAAATAATAAAATAATTATATACAATGTTTGATTATGATGGAAATTACTATAGTAAATTAATGATGATTTAGAATTGTACTCGCATAGCGAAGTTTTAGGTTCACATACCATAATTCTAGTTTGTGAGTGGAGCCGGCAGGCGTAACGAGCGAAGTCCTAAAATTTTTAAAATTAAAGTTCCGATTTTTCGAAAAAAAAATGCAAACAATTTTTACTATGATAAGAGATCAAAACTAGATACAAAATATTAATATTCTCTTTTATATAAATATTTCAATAATTATTGACAACAATTGTATATCATTGTTTTAAATTTATTATATAAATTTTTGTTTTGGTCAAAAATGGAATCAGCTTATTTTAAATTTGATCGAAAAGTGAAGGGTACGTTTTTGGTCGAAAACAGCCATGACCCTGACAACATATATCAGTATACATTTAGAATGTAAATATGCTTATAAATGTGAAAAATGACGTTTTAGTACTTTGAAATGTTTATAGTAAAATAACTAAATGTAATTATAAGTATCAACAATCTGTTGAAAAATTTTGTGGAATTAATTCAAATAGTTAAATAATTTGTCCACAATTTAAAATATAATATATTAAATCTTATTTTTCAATAATGCATATATAGGTACAACATTAAAACACTTACAAAAATCCAAAGTAATAACTTGAATATTAAGTATGTAAAAATATTATAACATTTAATAATGTAATTTATACATTTTTGACACATTTCCGCAATTATTATGTTATATGATTCACTAGTTTATGAGAATGAACAAGAGCTATATCAAATGTTTTTCTAAAATTCTTTTACATTTAAAATTAGAGGTAAGCCACTCTGAGTCTAAAAAAAATCTTAAAGCTAAAATTTTTAAATGTAGGTACAAGTTAACCAAAACGAACTTTTACCATATGTTGTAAACTAATTTAAAATAAATTATATTTAAAACCATAATATTTATGCACATAGTTCATTGAAATTTTACTTATTTAAATTTCAAAAACGACAGGAATGAAAAAATGTCTTTAATAAAAAAATACTTGTAAATACAAGTATTTTTTTTTCTTATTAAAAATTAAACATTGGTAATTTTGTTTCTAACAGAATGTTTTTACTAGATAATAAAAATGTAAAAAGCAACCGAATATTGATCCTGCTATGAAAAAACTAAACAACCAAGCATCCCCGACTAAACTCTAAAGAACAGATGGGATGTTATATTGCCTGAATCATTTATGTTACTATACTTTTATAAATTATCAATCATTTGTCTAAACTGTTAAAATAAAAGTTTTATCACGTCAACGTATTATCATAGTTCCATTGAAAATACTCGATGGTACCCTAACACATAAATCCTTCCAACTGTCATCTCACGTACTACCACATTTCTTGTGTTCTCGACAAAAACGTACTAAAATTTACAAAAACGTACATTAAAAACAAGTGCGCAAATTTTATATTTTTTAATTAATGTGTCAACAATAGTTGTATAACTTGAGGTATTCATCAATTTTTATACAAACAACATTTTCAGACTAATAATTTTATTACTTATTCCAAATAAACAATTTGTGTCTTATTTACCAAAAATATATGTTTGAATAAATAATTGATTTGATCTATTTATATATATATATATATATAAATGTATTAATAATTTAACATTATTTATTAAAAAAAAATGTATTAACAAAATTAATAACTTACATAGAGTAGATGATGTCGTGGTATTATTTTTCGTTCCAAGATCTCCATTCCCTCTATCAAACGCAATAAATACAAGCAATGGCGTAACCAAAGATACATCGAAAAACAACATTGATATTCCTTTTTTATATGTATATTCTTTCAAATACATAATGGTCCTTTCTATAAATTAATAATAATATTATTAAGTTATTACACAAATAATTTATTTACAATTTATAATATCCACTATACAAAACATCAATGTGTAAATTAATTATTTCTTAAAACTGCATTATCCTATAGCTGCTATGGTTTAAACTTTTTAGCAATTTTAAGACATAAAATTAAGAATTTATTAGTTTTATTATAATAATCACAATTTTTTTAAAACAATACAAGTGAAAAATTCGGTATATACTTATTAGTGTTTTCTTCATTGATGTTCTGTCACTGGGTATCACCACACATATTTCTAAATTAAATTCATCTTGACAATTACAAAGTAATTATTTTAAGGCCCATTAGACTCTAACGGTTGTTAGTGCTACCTATCGTAGATTCCATATAAAAAGTAGTATGTGATACATATCTAAAATATACATAAATTAGATAATGCATCTAAATATCTATCTAGATATAAATATAGGTAATGTAATTATCATTTGAATCATTTTTAAATAATTCCCAGAACCAGACACGAAATATACGATGAGTAATAATAATAATGCATTACGATTATTATTTTTGTATTTTTTTTTTATTTTTTATTTTTTTTTTTTTTTTACTACTACTAACTATTGAATTGAATTGATTGTTAGAAATATTTGAATCTAATAATTTTAAAATATATTATTTATGAAAATATAAAAACAGTCAATTTATTATTTATACCATAGGACCAATTTCGATGGAACTTTAAGTTAAAAATTAGGATAACACAAACAAATTGATTCCATTCATAAAAATTAAAAAATAAAAATAAAGAACAGGTATAAAATACATATAAATATTTATGTTTTCTATGTTAAACAAATTTATATATATTTTCTACGGAAATTGCTCAATAACATGGATATAACCGAAATATTAAAATGAATAAAAAAATTAAGTTAACACGGAACTTCTTTCGTTGTAATAAAGGTATTATCATCATACCCTAAAATATAAGACAAAATCTTGCAAAATTAAAATTCCTTTAATTACCAATACAATTGTTGTATTAAAAAAAAAAAAAAAAGCGGAATTTATGTTTTAATTTATAAATTGCAATCTATACCTTTTAAATAATGTATTTATTTATTAACTTGATTTAATATTTACTACAAAAGTTGTTAAAGGATGAATATTTTCAAAGAACAAACCATATAAGCTCCTTAAAAGTTAAAGTTCTGCAAGAACAAAATACAATTTTATCTTTTTTCAGCGGTACGGTCATATTAAGGTGACTAATCAAATGAATCACATTTTATGACATCTCTTAATTTTAATATTAGTGAAGCTCTATTTTTTAAAAATATATTTTTTTTCACTGCTAACAATCGTAAACATGTTAATATTGTCTAAAAGTGTTTAATAAACTTTTAAATAAATTTAAATAATAACACTAGGTATCCTTTCTTTAAATTAACGTTTGTGTATATATTATGTTATTACCTTGTCTTCTATAATCGTTGTCGTTTGTTTTCAATACTATAAAAAAATGTCTAAGCAAAGAATACATTTACTGTAAATTACAAAATACAAGTATTAAATGAGTAATTTGTAGAGTACTTTTTTATAAATAAGTACAAATTGTACCTATTCGTTTTTTATAAATTCCAAATCAAAATATGAAAATATAATTCAACTAATTGACATAATAAATACTAACATTATATTGAAAAATAAAACCATAAAAAGTCCGTTAATATAGTTATATGATATATAGCTTCGACAAAGTCAAAAAATAAAGATAGAATGACGCGAAATGTAGAAATAGTTAAATTATTTAAAGCGATCTGTACAGAAAGTGGATAGAGAATTTGCGTTTTTTGTCATGTTATTGTTTTTAACAACAAACATTAGGCGTAGTCTGTCTATAAAGGTTTTTTGTCGCATAAAACGAATATAAATAAGCATGTTACTACCATACCAATAATTATTCATAATTGTTCCATATAAAATATATTAGGATTTTAAACTTCAAACAATTGTATATTCATTAAACTAATTTTCATAAACTTATTTATAACAAATTACTTATTACATTGTGTCTCATATACTATGCGTATTTCCATACATCTAATAGTAAAAAAGGTACAACAAATTTGAATGAATGTTATTCTACACTTTCGCAGTGATACATTTTAAATCTAGTGCAAGTTATAAAATAGTAGAAAAATTATTAAAATTAAGTATTATAATTAATTTAATACTATTTGCTATATTTATAATTAATCTAAAGTGAGCTATTTATTTAATCAATATATTTTTCCTTTTCTATTTTCAAATAATAAAGAAATACATTTTATAAATATATTTATTTTGAAAAATTTTTAATCAGCTTAGTAACATAATTTTATAAATATTTTATTTTTATGAGACAGTAAAGTTTAAAAGTTCAAAAGCTCATTTAAAAACAACTGAAATAGTTAAAAATGGTGTGATAATTAATTAAGTATTACAGATCAAAATTAAAATACTTTATATTAAATATCTTCTAATGTGTTATAAATGTTATACAATTATAAAAAGCAATAAAAAACATAATATAGCTTTTTTATGAACATTGATATTTTTGTTATATTCTTCACAGTTGTATTGTTTTTTAAACCACGAACTTTCAAAAAAAAAAGAGTTCTCTATAATCTTGAAGCTTTGTATTAAAATTGTATAAGAATTAACCCTTTAAAAAATAAAATGTATTTATTAAATATTCAACTTATATGCGAAAAAATTACAAAAAAAAAAAAAATTAGATATTTCCTGAAATATTTATAAAATGAAAATTGATTATCCAAGAAAATTTAAATGTGAACAATATATTTATATTAAAATATTTAAGATAAGGATTTTAAATATGTATTTTATTGCACATTTTACTGATACATTTTCACGTACATTTGGGTTAAAAAAGACAAAATACATGACATTATTAATTTTATTACATATTATTGTAGCTATCAAATCCATAAAATGTTCAATTTATATATTATTTCATTCCTACTTTACTAATTTCAACATAAATATTATTCTATTTTATTAAACATAACAATTTAAATATTTTTATTATGACATTTTATATTGAAATTAATTTTTCTAGATCTTATGGAATGTTAAAGGTTTATTAACTATAGTAATATTTTTTTTTATGTGAAAGCTTTTCAAACAATAAAAATGTAACTATAGTTAAACCCAAATTATTTTAATGAATTTAGATCTATAAACATTTCAAAGTATTTCAAGTATTTCAAGTATTTTCAAGTATACAAAAAAAGATTGCAACATCAAATTGATTAAGCAAATGGGGTTTTAATTTTGATTGTTTCTATGTATAAATAATTGTAGTTTAAGACATTTTCATACAAAATTATTTTTTTTGTGTTATAACTTATCTACGCAAAATATTTTGATGAATAAAATTATTTATAAACACTTAATATTTTATATTTATATGCTATGCATAAAATTTAGTACGCAGTGTTTATATTAAATTTAATATAATAAAAAAATGTCACTACTTTCAAATGTTGATGTATCACTTATGTGGCCCACGCAAAATGGTATATCTCATCAAAAGTATTTCTCAAATAAATATTTTCTTTATAAAACTCAAATTTTATAAAGTATTTTGATATTTAATTTAATAAAATATTTAATAGTGTTTTACGTAATGTTTTAAACAGTTATTACATTTTTACCAAATTATCTAAAAAACAATACATTTTTAAAGAAGTATTAAAATTATTAAATATCTATTAATTTATTTGAACAAAGCAGACAAGGTATTAATTTGAGATATCAATATTAATTGGATAGTAAATAGGTTAAATTTTAAGATTGATTATTAGTTAATTTTTCTATTATTAACTATTCAATAAATAAAATTGTATTTCCTAAAACCAAAATATTGAATAAATAAACTGAAACTAATATTAAAATTTAAAAATAATATAAACATTTTATCGCATGATAATGTAATATAATGTAATATATTATTAAATATAAATATTTATATATGTAATATATTTTATACTGTATCGCATCGAAAAAAATACAGTTTACTACATCATTTAAGCACAACTATGTTAAACAATATATAAAACTATATTAATATTTTAAAAGCTATGAGTAAAATATATTATATATTAAACTAAATTGCTTAAATTATTTTAAAATAACAATGTATTGAAAAATAAGATTTCAAACAAAACTATTTTTAAAGTTAAATCATATATTTATTTTTTTGATTTATTAAATTATAACATAACAAACTTGTAAATATCTTTTACTTTTTCAATAATTTGTGAAAAATTCATAAATGAAGAATGAAAAACTATTTGTTTTCTTTAAGTTTAAATAAAAATTCTCAATGAAAACTAAATCAATAAAAATATAGTATAAACGATTAATTTTAATGAACTTAAATACATTAAATATACTGTTGCATATAAATAAATACATACATTATTTAATATTTATAAGTTTTAAATTAAAATAGTAAAATTAACCTTATAGTGTAGAATTATTTATTTATATTCATTATAATAATTTAAATTCATATTCAACAAAAATTAATTTATAAATTCATAATAAAAATATATTTTGAATATAATATTTAATAAATATGATTTAACTTTGAAATAAAATGATTAAAGTTGGACTTACCTCATCAGATGATCCAAGTGAAGTACGCACGTTATTCCCTAGACAAAATGAAATGTTATTTACTGAGCGCCCGTTGCACAGCAACAACGGTCAGACCCAAAACGCTGAGCACTAGAGATGCTGAGACACTAGAGATCTTCAGCGTCGGCGCCAAACACAATAATTTCCTAAAACTACTATACAACCTATTTATACCTATAAGTGTGAGAATTAGTATATTTTAACAAATCAATTAGAGCGTACCAATTTTCTTTTACAATGCATTTTATTATTTTATATAATTTTTTTAATAAAATACTTATACATACTTATTTACTATTTAAATTACTAAAATATAAAATTATAATTCCCACTAAAAGTTATTAAATAAATTGTAAAAATATACGAGTATATACTAATAAATTCCTATAATCCTTAATGAACTATAAAAACACATTTCAGGTTTATAATATTCTCAGAAACTCTAAAAATATAACAAATTTAAAGTGTTATTTATATTTAATGTATTAAAAAATTTGAAATTACATCAAATCATTTTCTAGATAGATGTGACTCTTGAGTTCTAAATTGATTGAATTCTGTATTATTTAATTGGAAATGTATAAAACAATATATAATTCAAATATCAATTTACCTGTATATTTTACAATTAATATTTTAATTTTATATAAACCATACACTATTTTATTAATTTTTTTTTACGTTAAAGTACATTCTATATTTTTATTAATGTACCTAATAATTAATTGAAATTCTTACATTTTTTTTTATGGGTATATATATTTTTTTTTATTACACTTATTATATATATATATATATATATATATATTATATTATATATTAATGAAAACTAGTAATAACGTAAACGAAAATGAATATACAAGTAGTTCAATATTAATGTATGTATTTTCATAGGTACATTTGTTTTGTAAGGTTAAGATTTAAACGAAACCAATATTATAATATTTTTAAATTATTTATTTTTTTATTTTTTTTTTTTTTTTTTTTGGAAAAATTTAAATAATGGATTTTTAAGGTAATATTTGTACACAACAGTTAATAATCTTAAAAACTTATACTAAAAAAATATTTATACTAAAAATTTTAAAATTTAAAATGCTTTTTGATATTAGTGTATTAAGATAAAATTAATAAGTAATACGTACATTTAAGAAATTAATTATAATTTTAAATTAAAGTATTATTCATTTTTCATTTATAATTCTGCCCGTATAAGACTTATGCTTAATAATTTCAATATAAAGTTTTTTACATTTTATACATTTAAAATAATTTAGTTCTTTCAATACAGATTCGTTTTATTTTACAATTAATTTTTAAATTTCGTATTTTATTATTGTTTTATTTAGCATGAATTTTGAACTATTCTGTTAATGTATCAATGAATAATTTGTTTAAAAAAAAAAAAGCTATATTTCTATACTAAAAAACAAAATATGGAATAAACCTGTAGATATATTAAATAGAATATTGAATTTGAATATATATGAAATAATTAACTACATAGACATTTAAATTTCACTTTAATATAATGCATATTTATAAAAAAATTATATAAATATTATAATAAATATTCAAAAATGAAAAAAGCTCTTATTTTATAATTATTAATGTTGGTAATAATTTTGGATCGTATAAAAGAGTACTAGAACAATATAATACGCTATACCAATAGTGACGAACTACCAGAGATAATTTATTAACCCTCTAAAATATTAAATCATAATTGTAAAAAAATTGAATTCAGATTTATTAAAACTTTGACGTAAAATATTATTTATATTAATATTTCTTATCACCAGGGCTCGGGAGTTAAAGCATTTGCTTATTTTTATGGATTAACTTAAAATGTAGCAGAGTGTTATAGAAGTGTATGTCAAGTTATAACACGTACAATTATGAAATTTGAATGTGCCTTTTTTTGTTTTTTTCAGCGATTTTTCAAAAAAAAAGCTTATTTCCAGCTTTTCTGATTATTTTTGCTTATTTGACCAGTTTTTTTTACATTTTTATAGTTTTCTCCTGTAAAGTCGTTTTTGATAGAATTAAAATTTAAAAATAAATCTCATCTTATCTACGTTGTCACGTAGTTCATCGCCGTCCAAGGCATCGGTGTATGGTTAACAAAGATATTCCAACGTTGAAAATAGAACATCAAAAACAAAGATAACAGTTTACATTTTATTTTTCAGAAAAATACCTTAGAAAACCCATAAAATCCTTAAAGTCTTGAAAGTGTAGATTTACTTTGATTATGTTTGATTTTTTAGTTAGAATTTTATAGTTTTTTTTTTTTTTTAATAAATATTTTTGCTTAATTTCAATTCTTTAAATGCTTATTTTAGTGTTTATAATGATGTTTTTAAGCGCTTTTTTAAGTGTTTATACTTATGATTTTAAGTGCTATAAGTCCCGAGCCTTGCTTATCACCAAGACATGGCCATGTGTCGCAGCCTTATCGTATATCGTTTTATATATTAACTTATATTTATGAACAAGTATTTTCAACTATGAAAATCAATAAAAATAAAACTAGGTCTCGCATAACAAATAATCATCTCCATGCCATTCTTCGAGTAAATTCAAACAAATTAGAACCTAATATTAATGTTCTCTGAGAACAAAAAAAAAGCTATATATTTATTCTCATTTTTAACAATCAATAAATGATTAAATTTATCACTGTATCTTTAACATTTGTCTACAATAAGATATAATATTCTAATAATTTAAAAAAAATTCCTAGTTATTGGTCCGCCAAGAACTTTTATTTTATGATCCTGGGTAAAAATAAGGTTGGTCACCATTTCATCATACTATACTATCTATACCACAAGTTAAATTTTTCATTTGTTAGTCCATATATTATAACTACATGGCTAATAGCTATTGATGTGGTCAAATATACTATCAATAAGGTAACAAGGTAAAAATATCCAACAGTAACAACAAAGATGATAAGTCAACATTGAACTGTAAAAACTAGTATGATATTATAGCCAAACCAATAGCAATTTTTAAAATATAGTAGGTAACAATATCTTAAACGTCAACTCCATGTCCATTACCTAAACTTTATTTTTCTAATTTTTAAACTATTGCAGTGATCGACAACAATGGCCTGACAATTTATATTAGATTTTTGGTTCACCCTAACAAGCCAGTTTGTAATAAAAATTTTATAATAGCTATAAAACTTTAAAGTCGGAATACCCACAATTTACGTCTCCGTTCTTAGAATCAACAAAAAAAAAGTACACATTTTGTCCAAATAAATGTATCGCTAACATATATTTTTTCTTTGACATCAAAGATTTTTAAATTTTAAATAATCCACTAAAATGATGCAGAGTTCGAGACTAATGGAAATTGTATAAATCTAAAATATCGCAAAATGTTTACTTACCCTTATACTTATATAATAATAGTGAATTCAGGACCACTTTCTTAACTACTGGAGAACATAACATGGATTTTATATATCGAAAAACTATAAGATGTTGATTAACTGCGAAAAATTATCAATCCAAAGTAACAAATACTTTTCTATTGAAACAAATGAAACGTGAATGAACTTACCTCTAAACAGATAAAAATGTAATTAATATAAATAAAGCTTTTCAAACACACACATGGAAAAAGTAAAAATCAGATGCAGTCACTATAATGGCATATTGGAACCATTATTTAAGCGAAATTTAAGCTGAAGATTTATATAAAGTTGGCAAGCCACCAGAAAACTAATTCGAAATGAAAGAAAATCTGATCAAAAAATAAGAGTGAATAATTATAATTCTATAAGTCGAGATTTAAAAAAACTGTTCATATGTTGTGAGAAAAATGGTATTTCCTACCAAAATTAACATACAACTATACTCATATATATACATTTTTTTTTTTTCAATATTATTACTATACTTATATGTGATATTTACAGATAAATATATATTTATAATTTAGTGATAAACAACAAAAATATGAATTTCATACATAATTTCATTTTACGAAGTGTTGCCGCCGTAACATAACAGCCGATCGACACACACACACACACATAAAAACAATCGCGCGCATCAGCCGTTATTTTTACGTTTATCCTTGTTTAATTATAATTTGTGTATTATGAGTTATATAATATTCAAACAGGTATTGGTGCGTTATTTGCAGCCGCCGGCTAGCTGGTGCGCGTAGCTTAACACGGCCGCCGCAATTTTGTCTTTTATCATACGTCCCAGTGTAAAGGGACCTTGTGTGTGTGCAAATTATTAAACCTTTATTATATTCGTTTTCCTTTTGTGTTTCGTGTCAATTTTTCATTGTATAGCTATGGGAGGACTAGCTGGCCAATCTACGCTCCACAAACTGTGAGTTATTGTTATATTTTTTGTTGTTTACAATTATTTAGTTGTTAGGCCAAAAGGGCCGTATATTTATTATTTTGTTGTGCCTGAAGGGCCGCATAGTATTATTATTATTATGCTTGGTCATAAGGAACTACTAGTTTATATTTATATTTGGTTGGTCATAAGGGCCGCACATTATTTTTGCACACATTATTTTTATATTATACTTTTCTCCTGTGTGGCCAAAAGATCCGCCTTTTATATTAATATTAAAGCTATACGACTACAGCTCTTCTAATAGCTATTACTATAAAATTATACATTTATACTTTTCTTCTGTTTGGCCATAAGGGCCGAGCATTTATACATAATTATTTTTACCTGTTGGGTCAAAAGAGCCGTAATATTATTATCACTATATTTTTTATACTTTGATGTTGCGGTGATTTATTGTTTATTTATTATTTTATTATTTTACAATACAGCAACATAGTTACCATTTTATACTATTTTTATTTATCATTGAGTTACCTATATGTCATTAGTTTTAAGCATATATACACTAACACATAAACACACTTACACAACACTACATCACATAGCTCACTAGTATTTGCGCGGCAAATCCAACCAATTCTAGTTAAGCTATACACCAATATACACAAATTTACATTACACAAGTCGGTCGGTGTGTTATAATATTACGAATTACGAAGTAT